AAAAAAAAAAAAAAAGTACAAGGAAGTCTCTGCAGAGATAGTGGTATTGGAACAGAGTCCTGAAGCCCAAATCAGCCTTGACCAGGCCAAAAAATGTGGAAGAGTATTCCAAACAGTGGGAATAATGCATGCAAATACCTGAAAGCAGAGAGGAGCAGGTCACATCCGGCAACTGGTGAGTCGTTTACTAAGGCTGTATGTGAACTTTGGAAGGAAGAAGGGAAGTGAGGAGGCCGGGTAACTTGGCAGAGGCTAGAGAGGCTCTGTTTTATTGAGTTTTTCATGTGAGAGGAGCCACTGGAGGGAATGATCAGAGTTTCACTCCCAAAGACCATTCCAGCACCAATTCAGGGCATGGGTCTCAAGACCTCCCTTGGAGTGACAAAGGCAGGGCAGGCAAGGCAGTGCACACGGAGGCAGAGTTTGCCCCTCTTTTTTTTTTTTGAGACAGAGTTTCACTCCTGTTGCCCAGGCTGGAGTGTAATGGCATGATCTCGGCTTACCACAACCTCCGCCTCCCAGGTTCAAGCGATTTTCCTGCTTCAGCTTCCAGAGTAGCTGGGATTACAGGCATGCAGCACCACACCTGGCTAATTTTGTATTTTTAGTTAGAGGTGGGGTTTTTCCATGTTGATCAGGCTGGTCTCAAACTCCTGACCTCAGGTGATCTGCCTGCCTCGGCCTTCCAAAGTGCTGGGATTATAGGCGTGAGCCGTGAGCCACCATGCCCGGTGGAATCTGTCCCTCTTTAGGAGGCTGAACAGGTATAAGGGAGGCAGGAGAGAGAGGTGATGGGCCACTAGACTCACTGGTTGTTGGCATGGGGCTTGGATGGATAGAGGAGCCATCCACTTAAACATAGGAGGAGGACGGAGGTGAAGGCCAAGTCTGGAAACAGGCCAAGTCTGGGGCCGTTTCTGGTAGAGAGAGGGTCTGAAGCTCAAGCCAGATAGAGGTCAGAAGGTGTCTCAAGAAGCCCATGGAGGAGTGAGCTGGACCAGGACAGCACATGGAGTACAGAAAAGAGGGCCAGTGGCTGGGCACAGTGGCGCACACGTGTAATCCCAGAACTTTGGGAGGCTGAGGCAGGTGGATCACCTGAGGTCAGTTAGAGACCAGCCTGGCCAACATGGTGAAACCCCATCTCTGCTAAAAATACAAAAATTAGTCAGGCGTGGTGGCTCACACCTATAGTCCCAGCTACCCAGGAGGCTGGGGCACAAGAATCAGTTGAACCCAGGTGGTGGAGGTTGCACTGAGCCAAGATTGCACCACTGTACTCCAGCCTGGGCAACAGGGTGACACTTGGTCTCAAAAAAAAAAGAAAAGAAAGAAAGAAAGAAAGGGCTGGGCACAGTAGCTCAAGCCTTTGGGAGGCCAAGGTGGGCAGATCACCTGAGGTCGGAATTTCGAGACCAGCCTGACCAACATGGAGAAACCTCGTCTCTGCTGAAAATACAAAATTAGCCAGGTGTGGTGGTGCATGCCTGTAATCCCAGCTACTTGGGAGGCTGAGGCAAGAGAATTGCTTGAACCCAGGAGGTGACAGTGAGCCAAGACCACACCATTGCACTCCAGCCTGGGCAACAAGAGCAAAACTCCATCTCAAAAAAAAAAAAAAAAAAAAAAGAGAAAGAAAAGAGGGCCAGGGACTGGTCCTCTGGGATTGGAGGCGGGGACAGGTAGAAGGGGCAGAACACACCATGGGAACAGCCTGACATGGGGCTCACTGGATGCGCCCCTCCACATGCAGCAGCAGGTAGTCCCTGAGGAGCGGGGGCAGTGGCAGCTGGGTGGCACCCTGCCGGCAGCAGCTTCCCAACCGAGCACGGACAGCTAGTCGGGCCAGGTGCTGCAGCCGCCTTGGCTGATTCACCATGCACAGGGCTGAGCTGTAGAAGGCTTCATGCTCCTAGGCCAGGAGTGAAAGAGGGTCAGATGATTTGCAGCATGCATCCACCTGGGTGTTTCATGTGTCTCAAAGGACTTGGATTCAGAGCCATAGGGGCCTTTCGGTGATAATGGGGGCTGGGCTACACTTCAGGGAAGGGCCTTCACTATGTCTGCACCCACTCCCACCCCAGAGAAGCTGGCACTGTGCCCACCAAGTTAGAGTTTCCTGATAAATGTCTATGCTGATGCAAGTGAGGGAGGCGGGAGAGGCGTGTGGAGTTAGGGGTCAGCCTGGGATACCAGGGGAGGGGGTACCCTGAAACCCAGCTGTGCCACTCTACCAATCCTCTCTACCCAGGGGCCCTCCTGCTTCTCCCTTCATGAAGCTGGTCCTGGAGCAATAGGTCTGTGGCTCGTCCCTCCTTCCCATCTTGGCCCTGAGGCGGACATACCTTCCACAACTCTGGGAGCACCGCCTCCACCCAGGTCTCACAGGATGGGACACAAGGATAGGCATTAAGCAGGACTTCCAGGGCCCGAGGGAAGTTGGCACAGTATTTCAGCATCTAGGAGTCAAAAGAGGGTCTTGGACACCATGCCTCCACCAGCCTAGGGCAGACCCAAGTCCCGCCTAACCCATATGGCCAATCATAGCCTAATCTGGGGGGCTAAGGTCTGAATCTCTCCTCCTCCTCTTCCATGCCTTTGTCTACCCCACCCTCAAGTGTGCTCCAGCCTTTCTGCCCTAGTTTTCCTCAGGGGCTCTTTCCTACCTTGGACTCTCTCTCCCAGAATCCTCTAATCCCCTCCCAAGCTAGGGGCAGCCCCCTGGCCGCTGAGGGCAGGCTTTCAGTCTCTTGGACTTTCTCTCTTCCCCAGAGGCAGAGCAGTTCCAGCCACGCTATCTCAGGCCCTCCCTGCGCACCTCAGGGCGCACAGGCTGGGCCCCGTAGTCCAGCAGTGCCGCGAAGAGGACCTCAGGCTCCCAGTTGGGGGCATCCTGGACGGCCTGCAGTGCACAGTCCATGGGTGTGTGGCCTGCCCCATTGGGGACCTCAGCGAGGGCCCCGTGGCGCAGCAGCAGCTCGGCCAGGCCCCCGCAGCCGTTGGCACAGGCGTTGTGCAGCGGCGTGTGGCGCTTGCGCCCGGCCGCCCGGGCATCAGCTCCAGCCTCCAGGAGCCGGCGGGCCGCCGCCAGGTGCTGCCTGCAGCTGCCCGGGCCCTCGGCCCCTGCGCACGCTGCGTTCAGCGCCGTCTCGCCCTGGCTGGTGCGCAGGCCCAAGTCGGCACCATGCTCCAGGTACAGAGCCACGTGCTGCTCCAGGCCGCGTGCCGCCGCCACGTGCAGGGGCGTCTCCTGGCTCTCGCCTGCAGCCAGGTTCACCGTCGCTCCCACTTCCAGCAGCAACTTGGTGCACCTGGGGACAGACAGCAAGGCCCCAGGGAAAATCCCGAAGGCCTGGGACCCCCTTCAGCTTGCAGTCACTCTCCCTTCCCTTTCCACCCCTCTCACCTTGAGGTGCTACCTGGTGTCCTCTATGAGAATTACCCAAGCCCCGCTACAGACAGCAGAACTGGAAAGTCCTGAGAGCCACCAGAAGCATCTTCAATTTTCATATGAAAAACTTAAGCCCAGAAATGACTTGTGGAGCCAGGACACACAGCAAGTTAGTGGCTGCACCAGAATTAGTCCTCACGGACTTAGACAGTCCCTCCCAGAGTCTCCTCTGACTCCCTACCCAGAGTCTACCCTAAAGATCTGATTCGGAATTATTCAGTTGTCAGTTGTCTCCTTTTTTTTTTTTTTTAAGACAGGGTTTCGGCCGGGCGCGGTGGCTCACGCCTGTAATCCCAGCACTTTGGGAGGCC